AATCACATAATTGCTCATCATAACAAACATAATCAGGTTTAAGGGCTGATGTTGTGTTGATATTGTCAATTTCTTTTGGATCATATAAAAATCGTACGTGACCAAAGAGCACAGGAATAACAGGAAATTCAAGAGGAAACGTACAATTTTTAAATTCTTCAATGATTTTAGAAGATTGCATGAACTGATCACATGTTATATTTTCGATTTTGTTTGTGATTTTGCTAAGACAAACGAGAAGTATCCAACATGAATAGGATAAATTTCCTTGAATACTAATTGATTGAATCAATACTAAATGTCGATTATTTTTACATTGACCAAAATCTTCTACACATTGTCCATCACCACACGTAAATTGACCTTCGTCAGGTCGACATACATATTCTTGACATTCAAATAGATGTGATCGATAATGAGATCCCAGAGGATGATTGGCCTTAACAATTCCATCCGATCCATCAAAACATTGCGGTTCCACATATTCCATTTCCAAAAAGATTTTTGGAATACATAATCCATTATGACATCGGTATTCATCCTCACTACATTCATTTATTTCTAAATTAAAACATCCAGTTTCATCAATACCACCATTTAGACAATCGATTCGACCATTGCATATCTCTCGCCAATCAAGACAAATCAATGGACCACCACGATCACATTCTAAAAGAATGTAACACGTTTGTTGAAATAGATTATCTGTTGAAGTCATTTCGCATGGATTTCGGACTAATACATCTTCATTTATTTTCAATGAATATTGACATCGAGATCCAAACCATGGACGTGTACAATTAAAAAAAACTTCATGCGATAAATTAGATTGAAATGGTTGATCGAGATAGTACTGATATTGTTCAGCAACATCAATCGATGACGACCATAGAAGAATATCATATGAAGTAACATTCTGATGATATAATTCATTGAAAGTTAAATATTGATCTGATATATTAAAAAAATGGATTCCAGTCAAATTCTTGTCGTTATTTGGACGAATACAATATTTAACTATTCCAGAAAAGGATGATTTAGATGAAAAATAATGCAAACAGTCCAACCCAAATGCATCTGTATCATAGAAAAATGATTGTAAACCATTAGGTATCGATAGAAAAAATATAATATAAAGAAATCTCAACATTTTATTCAAATGTATCTTTGCACACAAATGATAGTATAATGTATAGATAGATTCAACACAACTTTTATGGTAAATATATATATCATTATTTGGTTATATTAATAGTGTTCACTATTATACGTGTAATTCTTTGAGACGTGATATATCAAAACACAACAATGTAATCTGATACTTCTTTTTATATATGTATCTAGATGTGACATATTTATATGATAGAAAAATGTAGACATTGTCAGGTATCTTCTCTTATTTGATAAAAAATCAATATCATGCATGAAGCATCTTGATTAGCAAAAAAAGTTCAAAAGCAAATATCAAGAATACCACGATTGTAGACACCATCATTTACAACGTGGAACGTCGCCCGAACAGTGATCATTGGTTACATAGCCATGATTTCCATTGGGTAATTCGATCTTATACCATTTTTGGTTTGTACCCGAAACTTTCTTGATTTCAAAGCAATGACACGGTAAGTGGTCGTCGGTCACAGCCCAGCCAGCGTCAGGGCAGCTCGTTTTTGCGCACGTAAAAATAGGAACTCTTCGAGAACATTGAACATAGCTAGCCTAGTTATATGAAACAAAAAATATTGCAAATATTAAATTATTCGATGGAATACAAAAACTTACCTCGCATACTGCCAGAGCGATACCTAAGATGATGAAAAGACGAATAATATTCGAGAACATTTTTGTTTTGAATTAAATGATTTCAGCAATCAAGACAACCCTTTATATACATGGGCGAATACAAAAATCGCATGATTTATTGCGAACCTTGTGATAAGTGTAAACGATAAGTAATTGATGATGGAATCAACGTCATTTTATCTAGGAAGAGTGACGTATTTAATTTGCATATTGCATTTATTGTTTTTCGATTGAGATAAAATTTCACTTTCTGAGTCTCTTTTTTTCTTTTTTTTCGAATACAATATTTAACTATTTCAGGAAAGGATGACTCAGATGAAAAATAATGCAAGCAATCAAATCCAAATGGATCTGTATCATAGAAAAATGATTGTAAACCATTAAATATCTATAGAAAAAACATAATATAGAAAAATCCCAATATTTTATTCAAATGTAGCTTTGTATATAAATGACAATATAATGTAAAGATAGATTTAACACAACTTTTACAGTTAATATTTATCATTATTTGACTATATTAATAGTGTTCACTATTGCACGTGTCATTCTTTGAGACTTTTTTCTCAACGACATGTGATCTGATACTCGTTTTATTTATGTATCTATATATGGCACATTCATTTGATAGAAAAACGTAGACATTGTCAGGTATATTCTTTTATTTGATGGAAAATCAATATCATGCATGAAGCATCTTGATTAGCAAAAAAACGCTCAAAAGTAAATATTAAGAATGCCATGATTGTGAATACCATCATTTACAATGTGGAACATCACCCGAACAGTGGTTATCGGTAACATACCCATGCTTACCATTGGGTAATTCGATCTTAAACCATGTTTTCTTTCCACCCAAAACTTTCTCGATTTTAAAGCAATCACATGGATAGTGCTCGTCGGTGACAGCATTACCAACTACAGAACAGCTCATTGATGCACACGAGTACACAGGAACTCTTTGAAGACATTGAACATAGCTAGCCTAATTATATAAAACAAAAAATATTCCAAATATTAAATTATTCGATACAAAACAAAACTTTACCTCGCAAACTGCCAAAACGATACCTAAGACGATGAAAAGACGAATAATAGTCGAACACATTTTTGTTTTGAATTGAATGATTTCAGCAATAAAGACAGCCTTTTATATACATGGGTGAATACAAAAATCATATAATTTATTGCACAGCTTGTGATAAGTGCAAATGATGAGTAACTGATTATGATAGCGATATCATTTTATTAGAAAAGAATGAAGTATTTGATTTGTATATTGCATTTATTTTTTTTCGATTGAGATAAAATATCACTTTCTGAGTCTCTTTGTTTTTCTTTCTTTTTTTCTCTTTTCTTTTTTTTTTCTTGTTTTCTTTTCTTTCTTTTCTTTTTTCTTTTCTTTCTTTTCTTTTTTCTTTTCTTGTTAGAATACAATATGTGGCTATCTCAGAAAGTTCTGGTTCAAATGAAAAAGAATATAAGCAATCGAATCCAAATGAAAGTTGCCAAATTCAAATTTTACAAATCAGGATTTCTTTGTTTAAAAGCAGGAGTTGATCAGGAGAAAAATCAAGAAACTATCTTGAGGGTGGAGGTGTGTTGGTGTGTGTGTGGCTGTGGGGTGGACGGGGTGTGAGTGTCCACTTTTTCTAATCGCACCCATGCTCACACCCACACCCACACCAACACCCACACCTACACCCACACCCACACCCACACCTACCCTTAAATCAGTGAAACTTTTGCCTTAGATTTGAAACGCATTACCAAAATATGAAAATTTTTTGGGAAAAAAATAGAGCTTCTAATACATCGAACGCATTGTTTATCTCAGAGGGAGGCTTCTATTATGGAAAGAGGTTGAAGAAAATTTTTAAAAATCAAGAGAAATTAGGGGAAAATCTTAAAAATCAGCTTCTGAGTTCGGGAGACATATTATCAAGAGAAAAGTTTAAAAATTAGGATGTTTGGCAACCCTGATCCAAATGGATGCGCATCATAGAGAAGTAATTGTAAATCATTAGATATCGATAAAAAAAACATAATACAAAAGAATCTCAACATTATTCAAATGTATCTTTGCACACAAATGACAATATAATGTATAGATAGATTTAACACAACTTTTATGGTAAATATTTATCATTATTTGGTTATATTAATAGTGTTCACTATTACACATGTCATTTTGCGAGACTTTTTTTCTCAATGGGACGTGATCTGATACTCGTTTATATTTATGTATTTAGATATGGCATAGTCATTCGATAGAAATCTCTAGACATTGTTAGGTGTCTTCTTTTATTTGATAGAAAGTGAATATCATGTATGAAGCATTTTGATTAGCAAAAGAAAAGTTCGAACGCAAATATCAAGAATGCCATGATTGTAGATACCAACATTAACATTGTTGAATATTGCCATTGCCCGAGCAGTGGTCATTGGTTACATAGCCATGATTGCCATTGGGTAATTCGATTTTATACCATTTTTGTTTTTTACCCAAAACGTTCTCGGTTTTAAAGCAATCACTTGGATAGTGCTCGCTGGTGATAGCCCATCCAACGTCAGGGCAGCTCATCTTTGCGCACGTAAATATAGGAACTCTTTGACGACATATAACATAGCCAGCCTAATTATATGAAACAACAAATATTGTAAATATTAAATTATTCGATTAAAACAAAAACGTACCTCGCATACTGCCAGAGCAATACCTAAGATGATGAAAAGACGAATAGTAGTCAAATGCATTTTTGTTTTCAATTGAATAATTTCAGCAATCAAGACAGCCCTTTATATACATATGTGAATACAAAAGTCGTATAATTTATTGCACAGCTTGTGATAAGTGCAAGTGATGAGTAACTGATAATAGGATCGAAGTTATTTTATTAGGGGAGAGTGAAGTATTTGGTTTGCATATTGCGTTTATTGTTTTTTAACTGAGATAAAATTCCACTTTCTGAATCCTTTTTTTTCTTTCTTTTTCTTTCCCTTTTTTCTTTTCTTTTTTTTCTTTCTATTTTTTCTCGTTTTTTTTCTTTTTCCTTTTAAATACCATATTCGACTATTTCATAAAATTCAGACTACAATGAAAAAGAATAAAAAAATCAAATCCAAGTCAGAGTTGCCAAATTCAAATTTTACAAATCAGGATTTCTTTTTTAAAAAACAGGCGTTGATCAGGAGAAAAATCAGGGAACTTTCTCTCGAAACCAGAAGGAAAATACGGCAATGTCACGTACTTTATTTGCGAGCAGGCAAAACTTTTCACCCTGAAATATTTATAATTTTAGTTTTTAATAAACGAGCAATGAAAAGGTCTGTTTCAGTAAATGAAACAAAGAAAAACAGAAAGATAATAACACATAGTTCATTTTACTGGTTTTTTCAGAGCTGTTTATTGAACAATATAAATAAAGCAGATACAAATGGGTTTTAAAAAATCGCCAAAGAATTGAATTATAACTGGATAAACCGTTTCCTACGTCTTTTTTGATATTGTTTTTTCACAATTGTATTTTTCTTCTGAGTGAATTGCTTTTAACAGTTCTTTACTATTTCAGAGATATTTTTATTTTACTTTTAAACTCCACATCTATTAGGATTATTTTTCATTCTATTCCTATGAGTATATCGTCAAAATATTGTCTGATGGAAACTTGACTCATAATCACTTCTTTAAACTCATTATTTATCAACCTATATCGGTATTGGAGCCGGATCAGTTGTAAAAAATATCAATCGACTCATAGAGATGGAATTTTACGGGTTGAAATTTTTAAAAAGCCTTCTTTGTCGATTTTGTTTTTAGCCGTAAAAAACTAAGATAGCACATAAATTTCTGGTAGAGCTAGTAAAAAAGGAGACAAAATACAGGGTATTTAATGATTTTTGTTGGATGTCTCATACATGCTCTCCGAAACTTCACTCTCGCACAAAAGTCTTTCCTCTCTCTTCATTTCTTTGCTATCATACTTTGTATAAAATTTATTGCCGAGTAGAGATAAGACTTTAGAGTTCTATTGTATTATGATCTGTATACCATACTGAAATAAAACTCTCAAGTCATATCTCCACTCAGTAATAAATTTCATACAAATTATAATAGCGTAGAGATGAAGAGGGAGGAAAGACTTTTGTCCATGGGTGTATCTCATATTTGGGTTCATTTTTCTATAAAAATTGTTTTTCATAAGAATTTGAGATTTTGTCACTGAGTTTTTGTCTGTTTCACTGGAATCTTTTCGGTACAACATGTGATTTCAAGCGATCAGTTTATCGACGAGACTAGTTTAAAATTTCGTAAATGGCTCTCGGTACTGATCCATATCATGTCGCAAAAAATGAGTATTCTAAGACACAAAAGCTGAAGATGATTAAAATACTCGAACGAAGTCGAAATCTTCGAACTATTTCATTGTACGAGAAATATAGAAGTATCATGTAAACGCACGGTATGAAATCGAGCTTTGTAAATTAGAACTTTTATTTTTACGAAAATAAATCCTATTATGCAACCAGAGTTTTCGTAATTAAGACTGATCTTCTGGAATATCAAACAATTCAATATGATGCTGGTTTCGCACCACCTGGATTGATACTACATATATCTAGCTGTGATAATCCTCTTCTTTTCTCATTTTCTATGCATTGGCCGGCGTTAGTATTAAGGTAACCCCCCCCCCCCGCCGGCCGTCCCCATATTAGAAGCTTATGAAGGCGTCTAATATATTCACCACCTGAAGCTTCTTGACGGGGCTTCTATTAATTCCCAAAAATCTTTCATAGACTATGACTACAAAAACGATTCGAAAGATTTCTATGAATTTTCAAAGCTTTTATGAGTCTATCAGAAGATTTGCAGCAGTATTTTGAGATTTTAGCGCAGCTAGATTAAAATTAGTGGAACTTTTGCCTTACATTTGAAAAAAATTTAGAAATGTAAAGATGTTTTTCGAAAAAACAGAGAGCTGCTAACACGTCGAACACATCGCTCATCTTAGAGGGGAACTTCTGTTATGGAAAGAGGTTTAAGAAAATTATTAAAATCAAGAGAGATCAGGAGAAGACCTTAAAAATCAGCTCTTGAATTCAGGGGAAATATTATCAGGGGAAAATTTTAACAATCTGGAGTCTCCTGATCAAATGAGAAGGTTTGGCAACCCTGGCCCAAATGGATCTGTATCAAAGAAAAATGATTGTAAACCATTAAATATCCATAGAAAACATAATATAAAAGAATCTCAACATTACTCAAATGTAGCTTTGCACACAAACGACAACATAATGTATAGATAGATTTAACACAACTTTTATGCTAAATATTTATCATTATTTGATTATATTAATAGTATTCGCTATTACACATGTCATTCTGTGAGACTTTTTTTCTCAATAACACGTGATCTGATACTCCTTTTTATTTATGCATCTAGATATGGCATATTCATTCAATAGATATCTCTAGATATTGTCGGATATCTTCTTTTATTTGATAGTAAATGAATATCATGTATGAAGCATTTTGATTAGTAAAAAAAAGTTCAAAAGCAAATATCAAGAATGCTATGATTGTAGATACCAACATTAGCAACGTAAAACATCGCCATTGTTGGAACAGTGGTCATCGGTTACATAGCCTTGTTTTCCATCGGGTAATTCGATCTTATACCATTTTTTCTTTTTGCCCGAAACGTTCTCGATTTTAAAGCAATCACATGGATAGTGGTCGCTGGTGACAGCATCGCTAATTACACGACAGCTCATTGATGCACACGTATGAATAGGTTGTCTTCGGAGGCATAGAACATAACTAGCCTAATCATATAAAACGAAAAATATTTAAAATATTAAATAATTCGATAAATACAAAAAGTTACCTCGCATACTGCCAGAGCGATCCCTAAGACGATGAGAAGACGAATAATAGCCAAAGACATTTTTGTTTTGAATTGAATGATTTCAGCAATCAAGACTACGCTTTATATACTTGGTTAAATACAAAAATCGTATGACTTATCACGGAAGTAACAGTATGTTGGGAAGTACATTATTGCGAAGCTTGTGATGAGTGCAAATGATGAGTAACTAATAATGGGCTTAAGGTCATCTGATCAGAAGAGAGGAAGTATTTGATTTGCATATTGCGTTTATCGTTTTTCGATTGAGATAAAATTTCACTTTCTGAATCAGAGATATATTATCATTCAGCATATCAGGATTCTGTTGCCGAAAGAACCCGGAAGTGACATCCTTAGTCGTTATTCAAAATCAAGATCCTACACATTTAATAGGATTTGTCATCTGTGAATGAACGAAATTCTATTGAGTCAATTTATCTCTATGTAGAGCTAATGAAACCACCATTATCATTCTTCTTTCAACTTGATGTATCTATGTAAAACAGAACTGTTTAGGATTTTTAATGTTCTAAGGCAGAATATTGAATCATTTATCTATTATCAGTTATGAAATTAAGAGCTTCACTAGATTATCTCTGTCTTCAGACTATTTCCTAATTTTAACTGAATCGATCATTCACTGTTCTTTGATTAAGATGCAAAGAGCTTGACGATTTGTCTTGTGTATCGTTTCAACGACGTCATTTAATCATATGACCCTGTTCACTAAGAGTGATGACATACACTTGTATGAATCATTACATCAAAGATTGTTTTATGGTGGAATGATTATAATTTCCAATTTAAACTTTTAACCTTTAATATTTTGCATTGTTGATTAATGGATAATAGCAAAGAACACGAATATTAATTATATATTTGACTTCCATTATACATGCATTAATCCTTGAAGATCAAGTAGGCTTAGCTTTTTAATATTAGTTTTGTTGGCAAATATTGAATCAATAATTTGTTTCCGCGAAAAAACTACTACTTTCTTGTCATACGATGATTTCGAGCAATAGCCGTAAGCTGATTCAAAAATAAACTACGATGAGAGTGTGTTCGAAGCGAATAAAGATATTTGATCTGTCACACACAACTACTGAATATACGTTGTAAACTGTATATGCGAAAGTCTTTATATGTGACACTTTTATAAATAATGTTGAAGTGAACAAAATAATTTTTGTCTTGAATTACTAGATGCAGACGGAGCTCTAAAAAGTGTTTGAATGGATGAAACATTAATACACCAAACATTTCATCATCACGATGGTATAATCAATTCTCATTTTTATTTTTCAAGTTCAAAACACATTTATTGAAAGAATCAAATATTTTAATGCAACTTTGAATTTTATAAGTGTCAGTCATACACAGTTTGTATAGAAAAAACAAAATATCTATTTCAGTACACGCTATAAGTACGTAATATTTTAAATTTGTTAGCTTGACAATATGATTAATCGGCTAAACCAAATACGATCAACTTCGGTAACTGACAGTACACGATCTTCCACTATAAGGCAAATTATTTTACAAAAATATATTAATAAAACATAAGAATATGATTTACTGTTGCGACAATTCAGAGAAGGCAACTGGGCTGCAAGTAAATGGATGAGGTTGAAAATGTGATATTCTGCTTTACCTTCACTCTCAAGACATATTTTACGATACTGTATGCAACACTATTGTTGGAAGCATATACACATGGTGCATTTTGTTACAGTATGTGTCATAGTTTATCTGTAGCTATATTGGAAATTTCCAATTAACAAAAGAAACTACGTTTTGTTTTGTAAAATATGAATAATAAGAAGAAGAAACATGATCATAGTTTGAGTAATTGAAGAAAGGTCAATATATAGTAAAAAAGAAAGAAACCGATTGTTGAATTAATGTTTCTCCTTTTCATTCTACTATCTGTTTGATCAGTAATCGAGTAAATAAAGAGAAAGAACCTTTGAGAAAAATATTGTTATTCAACTGCGTATATAAAAACAAAATATTTGAGTCAATTACGCAATCGATCGCAAAAACACGCTGATATTTACTTCCAATCAACAAGGGTGTGGGTTTGGGTGTGAACAGAAAGAGTAGACACCCACACACCCTAGGCAACATTGAATATTATGATTAAAAAATAGAATTATTCAAGCTCAGATCTTTCTAGATGAAAATGCAACGTTTGCCGTGAGAAAAAAGTACAATTAGAATAACGTATATTTTGTGAACCCGTATTCATTTGCAATGATCAAGGCTTAAGTAACCTCTCCTTATTGGAAATAAATATATTCCATTTGATAACTGTTTCATTTGAATAGATAATAATCAAAGTGATGTTGATTACCAGCATTTTTAGAGTGAGAGTGTAGACCAGAGGCGGATCTAGGATTTTGGAGCGGGGGGGGGGGGTATGAGTGTGGGTGTGAGTATTACATAACCTTACATTAATACCCACACTCACCCTCAATTTTTGAAAAAGTGTTATTTCTTAGAATAGGGGGTTTCCGAAAAACCAATGTTTCGTCATGAAAACTCATTATAAAACCAATGAACTATAGTGCGTTCGATAGCTGACACTTTGCTCTATCTAATGCGCTATAAATCGAAAAATCGCCATTTTAGGGGGAGCCTTAATAAATGAACATTTCTTCAATATATATCTGTCGAATATCATTCGAACACTATCTATATTTGTATTTATGATACTTTGGAAAGAATGAATTATCATTGTATTGATAAAGTCTTCAAAAAAACATATATTCCAACTATAAGAAATGGTATATGATGAAAACGTTTAGCAAAAAAATGTGAAAAGACGAATATCAAAATAAAATACTAACAAAGAAAGAAAAGAATTAACATTTAAAAAAATAACGTAGAAATATATAATAAATGTTAAATATATTCACCGTTATAACATATCTGAAACATATAGTGATAAAATATTGAAAGTGGATAAATGTGTGTATATAGTGAAACCTCTCTAATGTGGACATCATTGTGTGAGTGTGGCTGTGTACCTATGATTTACTCTTTTTTAGTTTCACCCACACTAACATCCTTTTTTTACTTTCTTTTTCAAATAAATCATGCAACAAAAATGATAGCTCTAATTTGTTAATGTCACATTACTATACATGATACCAATCGAATTCATCATTTCGATTCCATGTCACTATTATTTTTTAAAATAAATGTGAAATTCATATTCACAATATCGATCATAATAAAAATCAGTTGAAACAGACGAATTCATTATTCAGGAGTGCAGTCATATCGAAAAATATTTTTAATTAATTTTGAACGTTTTGAAATATTTTAATACCCTTATACAATTTTTTTTACAGCAGATCTTTGTGGGTTCTCTATAACATAAACTACATGACGAGTGCATAAGTTATTTTTTGTGAAAAAATACAGAACTCTATGTTTTTCGTCTTGAAATTGTGAGGATAACAGTACTTGTTTATAAAGAATTTAATAATATCCTTATTAGATTTTGTGAGTTTTTATATATAGTTTTGAATAAAAATACATGAATCAGTTTTTTGTGAACCAGTGAAGTATATCTTGTTGAGAACATATTTCACATTTAATCTTAAAATGGCAGTTGATCAGATCTAGACTGAACTACTTTCGAATATTTTCATTTATATTCATCAAACATATTTCACACAGTTGAATGATCAAGGAATAAAAATATGTTCGAAAAAAATCGTAGTATTATAATTAAATATATCGTTTAAATATATTTGAATGCACAAAGTTCCGATAGAACGTACTTCTAATCTAATGTGTATTTTAAAGAACTTTTTATTTATAAGATTTCTTTTTGCATACGTACTTATCAAATACATAAATCAATAGCAATCTTATTCATCATATTCTTAATAGTGAAAAAAAAATAAAGTTAAAATACTTTTGCAATGTAATTAGGGCAATTTTCTTGTATTCTAATTTTGGTTTCAAACCAATAGATTACTATATTCATATATATACTGGCTCTTTTGATTTTATAATCATCTGCTTTCTTTATTTCTTTTTATTTATTCTTTTATAGTCAATAAATAAATAGTAACCGTATCTTTTTCAAATACTAAACAATTTAATTATTAAAATGTCTCCATTGAAGTAAATGAGAAATATTTTAGAAATTATTCAATTCTAAAATATGAATTCGTATTTAAGCATGTCAATTTTTATATAAATGTAACATTTTTAAAAGCAGACAAATAAAAACAAAAGACATTCAGGTAATCTATCGAAATTACTGTAAGACTCATTTCATTATTCTAATTTACTCTGAATTGAAGTAATATTAGAATATGAAATTCATTTGTATCAATTTTTCATCATTTTAAATGATATTTAAATAGAGAAGATAATAAACTGTGACATATTTAAGAATCTATAGTATTAATATTTTATTTTGGTAATATTAAATCAAAAAAAAAGTCGAAAAATTTAACAACAACTGCTTTGAAATTTTCCTACAATTTTGATATTGAATGTTTTTTCAAATATTGATTTTTCGTTTTGAATACATAAAAATATACAGAAGTTTAGTGTTGTATTGTTGAATATTGCAGCAATATCATACTAAACGACTGTCAATAAAAAAAAATAATAACATTTGTAACATTAATATAAAATCATGATCAAAAGCCAAATCTCCAACACCGTCTGTTATTTCATTTTGATCATCGGTATTATCAATAACACTTGTCGTAGTTGACATATATGCTAAATCCATACAAAGATCTGCATCTACTCTAACAATTGATGAATCGATAACACTTGAGCATATACGTGATACATCTTCCAATAATATATATTCACCACCTAAAATTAGCAAACAGATTCTATTAAGATATCATAGAAGATAGTATATTGCTTATACATACCCGTATTACGAGCTAAATTATTATAAAAATACGAAATATCATAACGAGGTCTACCCTTAGCAACAACAATTAAAACAATACCACGTCGTTTGAATTCATCTGATGCTTTTGCCGGATCATCGCCAAGAGGAATCGAACCATCGACAACCATAATAGCCAATTTTCCGTGAAGTATGCCATTATCAACTTTCTCCAATATGTCACCTTAAATAATAAATAAAAATTATATAATTCATGTGAACATCAAATAGAAATTTTTCTTGATTAAAGTTCATCTATTTGCATCAATCAAATGAATATCTCTTTTTTGTGATTGAAATTCTGTGAAAATGAATGTTTGCGGAGTCAAGAAAAAAAAACAATAAACGTTCATATATTATGGCTCAAAGTGTTACTATATTATTGTTAAGTCAGATTTTTATTCATATGGAGCATTTATCTTTTTAATCGTTATATAAAAAATAATCAGATATTCTGCTTAAGAATTTGAGAATTTTTTCTTACAAAGTGATTTAGCTATATTTTGGTGAATTGGTGCTTGTATAAGAAGACAAAGTTCTTCTTCAAGATGACTGAAATCGTGAGGAGATGAAATGATATTGATCTTCACTTGATCAGTTTGTTGATTTACTCGAGCTTTCATCAATAAGATTCTATTTTGACGTTGACCCAATATTATGACAGGACAAAGCTTCGAATAACTCATTGTAATTATTTAATAATAGACAACTTGCAATAAATAACAATATAGCTTCGACGTACTAAAGAAAAAATATGTGAGTTAAGATAAGGCATACAAATAAGAGAAACTCAATACGTCTACATCCCTTTTCTCGCTTTTCATTGGACGACACTCTCTCAATCACTATCTGTTCAATTTTTTCAAAGCAGAAAGAATTCTTATTGCATTTCAAAGATTAATTTTTGTAAAAGAAGATACAACAATTCGATTGATTTCAATTAAAATCGCGTATAAAACACATTTTTTGTTATAGTGTCATTGAGATATACAAGGTAGATCAAACGTCACGATACCGATTTAAAAAATTGAATATCTTTCTTATGGCTCGGGCAAAGAAGCTGATTTTTTATCATTGATAGAGGCCTACTTAAGCTTTATATCCATCTGAACTAGGTCAGGAAGAACTTTTGTTATCTATCACCATTGATTTTACCAAGAAAACTTTAATTTTTCACAGGTAAGGAAAAAACTATATATAAGATCGTGTAAAAGTCACTTTATCGAAAAATAACGCTGAATATTTCCACGACGGTTTGAGCAAATGAGCTAATTTTTTATCTAGGATAGAGAAATATTCATAGTCCAAAAACATACAGACAAGCCTGGTAAAAACCTTTGTTAAGTACATTGCTTTCTTCGCCTATCTGTGAAAAAGTAAAATTTTCTTGGTGAAATCATTAGTGACACTTAACAAAGTTTCTTCATAATTTTGTTTAGATGGATATAAAGCTGAAATAGGTCTCTATCAATGATAAAAAAATCAGCTTCTTTGCTCGAGCCATGAAAAAGATATTCATTTTTCTTCAGTTACTTGACGTTTGGTCTCTCCTGCATCTTTCCTTCGTCATCTATTCTATTCAAGAAGCGAGAACTAACAGCGAAAAGAGGGGGAGAAAAAAAGAAGAAAATGAGAAGCATACCTTACCACCAATCACAATCATAATATTGTTTATCAAAAATACAAGTAACGCCACCTAAAATCAAGTACCAATGGCTACGATTAATTACCAATAAGAAAAATACTGAATGATTAATCATAAAAAAGATTTTGAGGTCTCGAATGTATTGATTTATATGTATAATAGGTATCACCTATAACATAAGACAACTGTCGAACTTTTGAAAAGCCATTAAATAAGAAAGATATAATATCATTAACGCATCATTCTTGAAATAAAATGCTTTAAAATTAAGATTGTACTTTTTCTTTCTTTTTTTTCGATGTTGTACATATATATATATATATATATATATATGCATAATGACCATTGGACACTGTTCATTAGACCAATAATACTGCGTAGGAGGAAAGAAAGAAAAAAAATCATATGAATGTATATATTGATTCTATACTTATTTTAGATTGGCTAGCAAACTGATTTGTTCACCACTACTAACGTCGAACGTTATAAGAAAAAAGATAAGGCGAATAAGTAAGTAATTTAAAAATATCATTCATTATTTATTTGTATTTTTATTTTTACATTAATATCTATTGAGCTTCTGTTGAGCAGTAAAACGATAAGTAAATTTTGTTTATATGTTGGATATTTATATTTAAGCATAGATCAATACATTTTTATATAAGTAATAGTTGTTCAGTTTATATTAATATATAATTTTGCAGTGAAAGATAAATTGTCTTAAAATAAATATTTCCATTACGTTTTTCTGGATTGATTTTTTTCGTCAGCCTAGAATGTTTAAAATAATTTTACAGTAGTAAAACAAATTTGTTATCATAGTACGAATGATAATTATGTATTTCTTACTGTAAAAATTTAACTATTTCCAGTTTGAGTTTGATATCTTTTCAATTATTTGCAGTTGGAGTGAAGTTGCTATTGTTTATTCACCGTCTTCTAATTTTTCTGACATTATAAATTTTTTCAGTTGCATATGTTGTTGATATCTGATAGATGATAAATAATATAACATCAAGAGACTATTTGTATCACATGTTGATTTGCTTTTCTTTATCAATCTATAATAAAAAAAATATTTGATAAAAATACAAGAAATAAAATAACTAATAAACTATTTTACTTCAATATTATTTAATGGATTGGCAGAAGTTTGTAACGTTTTCAAATAATTAAAATAAATAAAATATCATAGAATGCTGGTTAGTTGATATTATTAACAGAATGTTTTCTCGAATTCTAATGCCAACATACCATCAATAAACTGTATAAATGAATTCTTTTATTTACATTTTAAAACGATTTCTATAAATATTGATTACATCTTGTCTTTGCTACAGATCATCAACCACTGACAATCGTTGATAAACATATTTGCTGTGATACAGCGACTGGTACAAATGCTGGATTTAATCATGCTGGTGGACAAGCTAAAACAGGTAAAATAATATTTAATAAATATCAGAACTGTTAGTATTCGAGTAAGAGCACTAGTATACTAAAATCCGCCCCTAAGGTTATGATATTATAAGAACGAAGGAACTACATAAACTATAAGGTATTCCATGATGTATGAAATTTATTTTACTACAAGGTTTACTAAAGATTTATCAGTTACATAATTATTTTAGTGCACTCTCATGGAAAAATGTTGACGTAAAAACAGGAGTTATATGAGATTTACGTTAAAATGTAGGCAGATTTATTGAAAAATTACCAAAATATAAATTTCAAAAGGCTGTGAATGTGTGTAAAGGTGGGTTCTATGGTCTGTTCCATATATATTAATAACTAAAAGAAAAAACAGAATATATAGTTTTTAGAAAGGAAATTTCAAGAGTATCACGCAGAAAGATATCTAGATTAGTATAGTAGTGCAATGAAACATTATTAAAACACTGCTCAATCAAATAATATCATCTGAGAATCTGTTCTTTTCAGAGGAATGAGTATATCAAAGAAGTACATTAGGGTTAAGATAGCTGCATCGAGTAAGAAACTGACCATATAGAGAACTAATCTAATAATTACTGCTCAGTTCTTTGTATTATCTAATAATCATGCTACATTACCAATTCGATATCACCAAACTTTTTGATGGCAATAAGAAAAAGACAGATGGAATCGTTTGAAAATCTCACGAACAATGCCATATGAGTGTCATGTATCACATAATCGATTGTTGAGTAGTTGTCTAATTCGACCTCGAATATAAATGGAAACAAAATTCGAAACTTAGTATTCTCACAATTAAAAACAGATTTCTAAACCAAAATTGACAGTTCAAATTTGAAGGCACCTCTGCTAGTTTAAAAAAAAGGAAAAGAGAGTTTTTCCAAGTTATAGTATAAAATTAAAGTTGGAAAATACCCACTGTCAAAAAAAAAAGAAAAAGAAAGGTTTCCTAGGTTACAGTTTAAAATTAAAGTTGGAAGATGCCTAACTTTTTTAAGAAAAAAGGAAAAAAAATTTTCTTTGAGCTACGGTTTAAAATTAAAATGCGAAGGTGTCTTTGTTTGTTTGGAAAAAGAAACCAAACAGAAACTTTTTCTAAATTATACTTTATAGTTGGAATACGAAGGTATCTGTGTTTATTTAAAAAAACCAAACAGAAAGTTGTCTTAAATTATAATTTCTAAGTCGAAATGGAAGACACCAATGTTAGTTAAAAGGAAAGCAAAAGAAAAGTTATTTCTATAGTTTTTTGCAAGAAAATATATATGAAAAGTAAAAGCTGTTACTCATGTTGAGTATAATAAACATACATCTCAAATAGACAAATTAACTATACTTTTTCGCTGAACTAGGAAAGATATCTGGTATTATTCGCGTGATGAAAAATTAGAAGGTAATAGTTTTGTTTCAGATCTGTTATAAGATAAAGTTTAATAGAAAATAATGAACTTTCATGTATTCGTAAAATAGATTTTCTTAGAGTTCATAAATCATAATTAAAAACGATATTTTATTGAGTTCTGCTTTTAAAAATTTTTTATATCGGTTGGTCACTTAAATTACTTTGTATAATTGCTTGAAAAGTAACTAGCTATGACGTTTTAATTGTTGAAATAGCTAGTTTGATAGATAAATAGTTTCATTTTGATTGTTAAATAATATTGTCTCCAATGAAATTGATTATAGATGATTATAAACAACATATATTAATAACTAAAAGAAAAAAAGAATATATAGTGTTTAAGAAGGAAATTTCAAGAGTATCAAACATAAAGATATCTAGATTAATACAATAGTGCAATGAAACATCATTTAAAACACTACTCAATCAAATAATTTCATCTGAAAATTTTTGTTTTTAGAAATATAAAATTGCACACATAGTACTATAGTATATGAATCTAATAATATTCTCATTTTAGATAGTATTAGTTGAAAAGAAACTTCATGAAAAGATGGTATCACACATATAGATGCAACTATTCTAGAATGAGTAAATCAAAGAAGTACATTAGAATCAGTATAGCTGTGTCGAGTAAGAAACTAACCATATAGAGAACTAATCTATTCCCTACTATTCAGTTCTTCGTATTGTCTAATAATCATAGTGCATTACCAATTCGACATCACTAAACTTTTTGATGGCAATAAGAAAAAGACAGATTGAATTGATTGAGAATTTTACAAAGTGACATATGAGTGTCATTTATCATATAATCAATTCATCCTGGCGCCAGCTATACTTAATGGGGCAAAATAGACAATTACTAATTCATTTGAAGAAATCGAAAATTTTATAAATTGTGTAAGTTATAGGCTAGTGAATTTTCATATTTGCTAAGATCAATTTCTGTTTGGAAGAGATAAAGCATATGAAGTGAGGGTTTTTGTGTGCCAATCCAAAGGATGGCCTGTATGTGATGTGGCACTTTCATATCATGTGATTATATCCATATGATGTAGCAGTTTTTTGTAAAAGATTACTGAATATTCCGAGTACTGTATAAAAGACGAGGAATATTC